ATAAATAAAATGGATTCAGCTAAAGTAAATCAAGGCGTAGGTCCTGATAGAAGCCTAACTTATTCCCACTTATAGCATAACGTTTTGGTAATCCGTGAGCATGCACACAAACACACACAAGGTGACTAGAAATTCAGATAGAAGGCCGTGAGAGCAGGAGCAGATCTCTGTACAAATGAATCAATCTCCTCAGCCTTTCCTATTTGGCAATAGCTGCTTCTGCTTCAAATTCCAATGACACCTCTCTCTCTCTCTACTCTTCCCTTACGCATCACAGTGAAAAGTTTCATCCATGTGGTTTCTCACTTTCTGTCGTTTCCCGCCTCACAAATTTAATTTCAACTTTTCAGTACATCGAGTTTTCCTGCTGTCACATTAATTTATATATAATATTCACTATTATTATGACAAGCATAATTTTTCCCCGCATCGAATGGACTGAACTTAATTATGGGATTATGTCACCCGAGCAGTTGCATGCATGCAACAAGATAACGCATTATTGTAGGGTCGTCCACGAAAGATGCATCATCTTGGTGACATTACGACGTCGGAGGGATAAGGACATGGATGAGTTTGGGGCTGCTTGTGGGTAATGGAAAATAATGGAATAAAAGTATTATACTGTCTCGACATCAAAGCCATCAAAAAAAAAAAGGAAGAAGAAAAGGATGGGCAGGGGAAAGAGGATGGAGGGTCAGAGATTCGGATCGTGAAGTAGGCAGATCATAGACAGAGAATCAGAGATCTTGTTCAGACTCAGACCCTCTGGTTTTGTTCTGCACGATCAAGAGATCAAAAAAGATGGCAAGCCTGTTTCTGGGAGCATCTTAATCATCATAGCATCACAGGTCCACCTTTATATTATGTACCTGTACCCTGTACTTCCCCTATTCTACCTATCCATGTATCTTTCCTTCCATTATCTTTTTTTTTTTCATATACTTTCACTCATTCCATTTTTATTAGATAGGAAAAAAAAAAAATCATTTGTAATGAAGCATGTTAATAATTTTTTTACCACAAACTTCTAATTTTATCCCTAGTTAAATAGTCGTAACAGAAAATACTTACATTATTAAAATATATATTTAATAAAAAATTAATAAATTTTAAATTTTTTTTGGCTTTTGGTAAAATACAAGGAGAAATATAAAATTTAATTTTTACACTTTACTCGTATTTTGTTATAGATCTCTGCACTTTTTTTAATATTTTGGATTTCTATGTTTTTATTTTTTAGTATTTTACTTTCATCCAAAACCTTATACTTTGTTCATTTAGGAATTTAAAACATTAAAAAGTAAAAGTATAGGGATTCAGAACATCAAAAAAAATATAGAAACTTACATCAAAACAAATGCAAAATGTAGGGATCAAAATGCATGATTTCTTTAAAATATATTGAAAGTAATATATGAATATTTATATGTAGCTTTTAAAAAAAGATAACAAAATTTCTTTAAAATACACAAATGAAAAATGGATACCACAAAATGTGAAATTATTTTCTAGTCCTTTAGGACTTGCCTGTCAATCAATTTCAGTGTGAAAAGTCTATTTCACCCTTCTTAAAAAAAAAATCTCCACATGCTCGATTTCTCCTATCATGTATTCTCTGGTGTTTTGCTCGAATGAATCATCCCATCGCCATTTTATTCACCCAACCACCACAATGAATTCCAAACCCAACCCCTCCCAAACCCCCAACACCCCTATCCTCCACAACCACTGTTGCCTAATCCATGCTTTCTTTAACACATTCACAACAATGGCAAGAATATGCTCTACCACGTCCTCTCATTGACCGAAGACTATGGCAACAAATAGAGCACTGATTGCAGTTCATACTCAAAATATTATCACTTGCAAAAATCAAATCCATCAAGATATTCTAATTCGAAACACATGATCAAATATTGTGAAAAAAAATGTTAATTTACAAAATCCAATAAAAATCTGAGTCATGGACAATATATCAAAGATTCAAAAGAAAAAAAAGATATTACTGAAACAGATTTGTAGATCTACAATGGATGAAGGAAAAGAGATGAGAGTTGATGATGAAGAGACTACGAAAAGAACGGTGATAATAGCCTGTAAACGATGATTCGTGTTTCTCACACTTGCCAAATTCACCTTCTGTGAAGCATATATTCAATCGAGAATTTCCTTGTAACATGTAATACGCAATTGCAGGAACGTACTGCCCAGCATAGTTTTCACTAGTTTATAAATTGGGCGCTAGATTTAGGGATTTGGTGACCCTCCATGGTCCGAGCTCGAAGAAGTTGCCGATAGTGGAGGAACACCCCCTTGGAGCCAGATGAGAAGTAAGGTTTAGGAGAGAGGTGAAGTGAGGTTCTGGGCTTCGTAGAAAGCATAGAAAATGGCAAATTTTGAGGTTTGGTTAACAAGAGGAAACCAGATTTTGCGGGCAAGGCTTGTTTTGGGAAGGAAAGGGTTGAAGTTGATGTTGCAGAGACATTGAAGAAGAAGAGGAAGAGGTAAAGTGTGAAAGAGCATAATGTTGCAATTGACTCCATTTCTGATAAGAGCACAATACTTCTTGAGCACAATGATTCATTCGAACACCAGAGAATGGGTTGGAGATTTTTTTCCAGACGCGTAAGATAGCTTTTTACACTAAAATTTATTGACTGGAAAGTCACAAGGGACTATAAAATAATCTTGACATTTCGCGGTAGCTATTAGTCATTTATATATTTTAAAAAGAATTTTATCGTCATTATCTCTTTCTTTTTTATTTGTGTCTTCATGTTCTTCTTTGCAAATATTTTTTTTCAACCCGTTAAACCTTAACCTTCTATATGATGCAGGCTTAATTACTTTGCTGGCTGCAGAACTCAACCATACCCCACCAATTATAAGAAAATTATTCAAATTTAAATCTTATATTTTTACCCATATTTCATTTGACTTGTTCCGATTACTTGATTTCAATTAGCTATTTTATCATTCTTTGAAGAAAAAATAATAATAAAATTATTGTAAATTATGTAAATGATAATTTACTCTCTCAAAAATGTCATAATATCAATAAAGTCCTTAGGTACCTCTTTATTAGTAACTTTTTTTTAAAAAAATTATTTTACTTTTATTAAAAATAACAAGATTTAATCATAATTTTTGTTTAAAAAATTACAATTTTATTCTGTAAATTACAAAAGTTAAATAACAAATCATAACTTATCAATTGTAAGTTCTGTTATTGAAAAATAAGTCTCAATCACAATTTTTATTTAAGAGATAACTATTTTATTTTGTGAATTATAAAAATTGAACAAAAAAAATTATAATTGTCAAGTGTAACTTCTAGTACTAAAAAATAAGTTTTCAAAATAACAAACTACATTCACAACTTTACTTAAAGAATCTTAACTTTTCTTTACAAAATTATAAAAATTAAATAAGAAATCACAGTTTGTTAATAAAAGTAAAATGGTCTTTTCTTTGAAAAAATTATTGACAAAGAGACCCAAGAACTTTATTGATATTATGGTATTTTAAGGAATTAAATTATTATTTATATGATTGAAGAGATTTTATTATTATTTTTTCATCTTTGAATCTCTTAATTTATTATTTTAGAATGACAATAATAATTGTCAAATATTACATGAAAAGAAGGGGGGGAAAGGGAACAGCACAATATTCACGAAATCAATAAGAAGCTACATTATTGATGGAGTACGAGTGAATGAGTGATGCACGGCACTGCGGCTGTATATCAAATTCAAGTATATAATAATCTTTTTGTATCATTTTTTTTTAATAATAGTATCGTATTCTTTTATAACAAATAATAATACTTACATAATTTATAAACAATCCCATTTATTACTTGGGATGCTTGTTATTTTTTAAGCAACGAACCACCTATCACCTATGCATCTTTTCGCTGCCATCTTATACAATCCTTGGATATGCCTTTGCACTATGCTTACCTTTTCATACCGCTAACAATATTAGGGATTTATGATTGTATATTGAAGAAACTAGAAGAAAAGCAGCTTTCAACGCAAGGTTATACATATATTATATATTTTCAATAGCAGGAAAGAAAAAAGGGAAACAAACGAACAAACTAATATAGAGCAGGAACCTCTGAATGAGCACGATCAACCACTAAAGGATTATTTTAACATAATAAATAGTTTTGAGTTTGAGTTCTAAAAACGCAACAGCGTTAAAACTCAGTGGTAGAATCCACTGACATCTAAACATCTAACTTTCATGATATATTCTTTTCAATTCTTATTATAACACACTTTCAACTATTTTATTAAAGAATTAAAGAATATCAATTAGTTTATTACATATACTTTAAAATAAAAAAAATTAAAAAAAATATTATTTTTGGTCTCTGCACTCTATTTAAGTTTTGATATAAATTCTTGTACTTTTTTTTTTTAATATTTCAAGTCTTTACACCTTTTTCTATCCATAACATTGGTTCTTACATTTGCAGAGAGACATTGACGTGGAAAAAATAATATTAATACTGCTGACATGTTAATTAGCATTGTTAATGTTTTACTGACGTGTCAAAACTGATACTGAGATTGGTTTTTTAATGAGCAAACATGAAAAAAAAAAGCTTATATTGGATGAAATAAAAATGTTGATATCTGGACTCTTTAAATAAACAGGCAAAGGATCTGGAATCAACAATTATAAGAGAAACTGGATTGAAAAACTGAGATTTGGAAATAGCAATTGTTACTGGGCTGGGCCCAACGGTGAGACTCTTGGGCCATCATTTATAATTTAATTATATATATATATATATATATATTTTCTCTTGAGTAAAGGACAATTTATTAAAAACCATAAAAATTAATCCTTACAAACATGAGGTCATAAATTTGGTAGAGCAAAGATAATAGGATAGTTTTTTAAGGTGGGGAAAAAAAAAAAGATACAGGAATGGTTAGGCTTGGGCGCTTGGCATTGTATTGTGGGAGGTTCAGAGGAAAGCCCCAAGGAAGCAGGGTGGTCAGTCTGGCAAGCGAAATGCCATAGAATCGAAGCCCTATCTATCTTGTTGCAGCCAGGTCAGCAGCACACTATCCACACCATCGCAAACGAGTGGCTCTGCATCTTCTTCCTGTGCCATTAGCTGCCAGAGCTTCTCCTCCACATTATCGAACCCTTTTCTGCCCATTAACCATCCCATCACGTTAATCATCCTCTCAGTTATCTCACTATCTTCCTCCTCAGCATAACAATGGCGTCCACCTCCTCCTCCACTCTCACTATTTCCTCTTCTTCCTCTCTCGTTGATGCCAAGGCTCCCAGACAATCAGCTTCTGTTTCCTCTCAATGCGTCAGCCTTCCCTCTCTTACTCCTCCCCCGGTTCAGTCCCAGAACCGGCCCTGGAAGGCCTCTGCTTATTGTAAGTCTATTCCATAAACACCCCCATCCATGCTATTCCTGCGCTGCCACATTCTTAATATTTAACTTCACTCACGATGTGCTCATATCACACGCTTGAATCAAATATTTTCATAACTATCTTCCATCTTTTGCTCCTCTGCACTGTGTTGTGTCTTTTATTTGTATCAGTTTTGATACATCACGCCTGCATGGATAGTTAATCACCAATCACCAAAAAAGAATGAGTTGTGTCTGTTACTCTTATTGGATGCTACTTCCCCCTCTACTTATTCCTTATTTATGACCCTTTATTTAAGCATTGATTTTACCCTAATGATCCTTCGCTTTGACATGTCTTAATTGTCTAAACTAACTCCTAATTAGTTAGTGAACTTTATCAAGGGTAATTTTAAAATTTTAAAAACTTCAACTAATTTTAATTGAATTCCTTAATTTACGCAAAGTTGTTATTGGGTCCTTGTATAAAGGACTGAATGGATGGAATATTAAGTACTTTGAAGACCGATTGTTTTAGGATGTAAAACTTTGCAGTGGAAACTTGAAAAGAAAAGAAAAGAAACTAGCCGTATTTGAAGTACAAGCAGGTTCTAAATATTTATCCAGCACACACAGGGGGTCACACACACTCTCATGTTTTATCATGCTGCAGTGTGTTGTGTCATGTATCCATATCAGTTTTGACATATCAGACCTGCTTGGAGTCTTGGACAGACTATCTGTCACCTATCACCGAAACAAAAGACACTCTAACGTTGTTAAAGCACAGACATTTGAAGAATGAGTTGTGTCTATGTTAGGTACTCTTATTAGATGCTATCAAATAATTCATAGACGGATTGTTTCAGGATGTAAAATTTTGCAATGGATACTTATAGAAGAAAAGAGGAGTTCTGAATTTGTGGGACACTCTAAGACATCGTGCAATGTTTCAAGCTAGTATATATCAACAGTTGGTGTTTTATTGCCCATGCTCTCTGTCAGTCTGTGTAACTGTGTATTATTAACCTGTCTTTTGTGTACATGTTTATACTTCTTGCCTTGGCTACCAGTTCCTTTATGGTGTGGAATTATTTGTAGAATGGCTTTTTCATGTCTCAAAATTTCTTGAATGTTCTGCCAACGACCACAACATTGCCATATAAACATAAAACTCATTTAATCTATAAAGGATGGACGCTTCAAAAACTAGATGTATCTGTGTCCAATTGTTGTATCAGAGATGGTGTGGTCCTCCAAATTTCATTTCAGACACTGAATGTTTTCCTGTGTTTGCTCCATTTTTGTTTGTGTTAGTTTCTGTGTGTTTAGCTGCTAATGCTTTTAACATATTCAGGAAGTAGTAATTCGTTAAGTGATTGCTTCAGGTCGCAAAATTGCTCGCAATGTGATGGCAATGGCAAGCTCCGCAACAGGGGAAGCCCCTCCAGCAATTGTTACAGGAGGAAACATTTCATCAGAAGTTACCACAGCTGAGCCCCCAGAGTTTGTTAAGACGCTTCTAAAAGCTGTAAGCAATTCAGAGCCTCTGCAGTCACTTGTATATATAATGTGTTCAGAGAGATGTTAGTGAAAATAATATCTATATATATATAAATATATATAAAAGGAATGCATTGATGGGATTAGATTCCAGATGCAGTTTCACTTTTTTATTACTGAGTCTCTCTCCTTGAATGAAAGGCTATATGACTATAGAAGATCTGCCATAAGCTATAAATTTGTTCTACAAATTTTTTGAATTAATTTATCCCTGATGGTAAAAGTGATTGACTTAAACATTATGTTGGGTGCATAGTGGGACAAAGTTGAAGATAAATATGCAGTGAGCACTGTAGCGGCCGCTGGTGTAGTTGCATTGTGGGGCACAGCTGGGATGATGTCGGTAGGCCATTCAAATGCTTAGATTGTATTCTTTGATCATCATTTCCTACTATTTACTGTCAGTTCCAATTTTTGTTTAATACGGTTGGTAACTATTTATGGCTATCTCCAAAAACAGGCAATTGACAGGCTTCCTTTGATTCCTGGGATGCTTGAGGTTGTGGGCATTGGCTACACTGGGGTAAGTTTAATATGCTTCGCTTCTGGGATCACCGTATATCATTCACCCATCTCAATTCATGCTTATAACAGTTTGTTCAGAACCTGGAGACCTGAGTTTGCTTCTTTTGAAAAGTACTAGAATAGTGAAGTTTTAAATGCGCCATGCCAATTAATCCGGGAAAGTTATCTTGTAAGATTCAAGTAAAATCCAAGATACTTTATCTATATAAAATCAAAAGTGAGGGAAAAAGAGTTTGTCAAGAACTTTAAGAGCCGCTTCATAATCCTTTTGTTTTGCCTTTTCTTATTGTTTCTTCTTGGGTACCACATATTACTGGTTTATCTGTTGACTCATCATTCATAATCTGTTCCTTTCTATAGTGGTTCGCTTACAAGAACCTAGTTTTCAAGCCAGACAGGTGAGCCTCATACTCAGATTTGAAATTATCAATACAATGAATTCATCAAGTTCTGGATATATTTTTTTCAAAATTCTAAGTGCTTTTCCTGTAGTCATATCATGTCATTAATAAGCATATTTAATGGAATTACAGGGAAGCTTTGGTGCGAAAAGTAAAAGAAACAATCTATGAAATAACTGGGAGCAGCAGCTATTGACACAAGAGCAAGCATTGTGGTTGAAGGTGGAACCATTGCTGATAAATGCTTCTGACCATACTATATTATCCAATGTAATGTTACGTAATTATCTGTACTAAAAAGAATGTAACTACATATATTATTTCCACCATTATCTCGTACAGTTTTTAAGGGTGGGAAAAACAATAAATTTATGGTACTTAATTCGCGTAGTACAAGATTATTCTCTCCCCTTGTACTCAACAAAAAAAGAAAAAAAGAAAGAAAGAATACTCTCTCCCTTGTATTTGTTATCTGCAGGCACCTTATGGCGGATTCAACTCATTCAGAATTACATTTACCTATATACCTAAAAAAATGTCTAGTCAGACTAGGTATTGATTTGACGACGTTCAAAACTTCAAGTATTAAAACTGAATGATCCAAATTAGTGTTTAAATCTCACCCCAATGATATTTTTTTTTAATTATAAACAAAGGCAAGAATACATATTGTTAAAGGAAGTAGAAGATAATTAACTGACGTGGGCAGGTTTGCATCTAAGGTCATAGTCCACGTCTCCATGATATTCAACCACTCTAAAGGTGGTGGTTCCATAATTATGCTTTGATGTTGATTTCAAAAGAGCGTGTACACCAGCCATTTGGTGCAGGTATTTGCTTTTTTTTAAATATGTTATTACAAGACACCAACCAATTTTGTATGAGCATTTTTCTAATATCTTATTAGACTTTAAAACCGGGTGTGACCTATCTTGAATTTTTTAGATGTTCTCAATGACTTTTAATAAATTCGAAAACAAATTAACTTTTCTAAAATCAAACATTCCAGCAGAGTTTTAACCTTTCTCTTAAGTTCATCATTTGTGTCGCAATGCAAGGAAAGTAACATGTTTTTGTCACAAACCTGCCTCTTCTTTACCATATGCGCATGGAATAAGTTCATTGCATGAAGTTTTGTCCTCATGATTGACAGCCCCGTCAACATCAAGTGTAAAACAACCTGGATCTGGCAATCTTTGCCTCATTTTATCTATAGCTCAATGTAGCTGAAGTCTATCTGAGACCTTCAAGTTTAACACCTTTACTTACGACTCGAGTGACCGTTCTACCAGGGATTCAGTGCAAGTGGAGCCACTTTAGCAGTCTACTGTGGATTCAGATCCCTTGTGCCCCAATTAGTCTCTAAGAGACTCGATCATAAAACAGCTAATTAATATACAACTTCTGTCACCGTCAAAAGAAACACGTCCAGATGGAACATTGTTTCGACGAGAGGGGGAGAATTATAGGGAAATCATACATACCATACGAGTATATTATTCTTCCACTTCTTCCTGATAATAACACAATTGGATTACAGAATGCAGACCAAGTTCTCTTATTTACTTGGATTGTTATAAAATGCTTTGATACCCCTAAAACGAAAGGGATTATCTATTTGTAGAATTCCATAATCCAGAAGTTACGAACAAAACACTCATATCTAACGCCTCTAAACCCTGCTGACCTGGCCAATTCCATGAACTCTTCCTCACTTCTCTCTCTACCACCTGGGTTTTGAGTCATCATAATCATGTCAAGCTGGGAAGTGCTCTTGGCAGAAGCAGAAATTTCTGGTACGGCATGCAGAATTGCATCCACCACAATCACTTTTCCATCTTCAGGAATGGCGTTATGGCAATTCTTCAATAACTTCAAGCACCACTCGTCACTCCAATCATGAAGTATCCACTACAAATTAAAGTTTGTCCCAATAAACTCACGATTAATTAACGTCTCATTAATTATCATTGGTCACAACATGTAAAAACATTACCGAGTGCTGACACACCTTCATGAAAACAGCATCTCCTTTAGGCACACTTTCAAACATATCCCCTCCCACGTGTTCCACTCCTGCAACATCACAATCCTTGATTTAAATATCACACCAAATTCACCAATCACTGTTTAATTATTTTGTTCGGGAAAAAAAAAAGGGGATATGTTTGATACCAGGATAAGGAGGAGCGTGTTGGATGACATGAGGTAAGTCGAAATTGATTCCTTGAATATTTGGATATTTGGAAGTGATCAAGCTGAGAGTAATCCCAAGACCTCCACCAACGTCGACGAGTCTAGTGATGTTCCCAAAACCTTTGTAGTATTCAAGAATCTTAGTCACCACCAAGGTGGTCTGATTTACCATTGCCTTGTTAAACACATCGTTAAACCTTGAATCCAATTTTGGATACTCAAAAGCATGTGATCCGTGCACCTTATTGAACGCGATGCCTCCATCCGATATTGCATCCTTCAGTTTCCTCCTAATATTTTCATATAAATGTAAAATTTTAGTAAGATGGGAATTGACAAATTAAAAAAAAGAAGAAGAAAAAGACTTGGTCATGAGCTCCACATGAAAAAACCTTACAAGTCAAGTGTGGTTTACAAGTCATGTGAAGGGCTCTCTTATTTAACATATTAGTTTTTTTGAAATAAATTGTCCTTTTAAATTTGTGCTCATAATACTTTTTGTAAGAAATTGAGAAAACTTAATTTGTTTTTATTTGTTTTTATTTTAAATATAATTTGTAGATAAAAAATAAAAAGAAAATACAATCATTAATCTCTATAGTTTTATCGAATTTTGTTTTTAGTTCCTGTGGTTTTTTTTTCAGTGTTTTCATTTTTTATAGTTTTCAACAAAATTAGATGATGTTTGTTAATTAGATCCCTTTAGTTTCAACATTTTTAGTCTCTATAAAAAATAAAAATATTGAAAAAAAATTATATGAATTAAAAGCAAAACTCCATAAAACTATAAGGTCCAATCATTTTGTTTTCTCACAAACAAATAATATGATAACTTCAAATAAAGCACCAACAATAGATCAGACAATATGGAAATAAATTCAATTGATCTTTAGTTTAATATTTTTATATTGAATGATTTTGTTTGGCGAACAACATTCTTCAGAATAGCTTAAAATTTAAACTCTAATAATTAATGAAACTCCAATAATATTCAATTACAAGATATTTTCGTTTTGTGATTTTAAAAATTTTAAACAACTACACATATTTTTTAACTATCAGATGGAAAAACAGGACAAAAGGAGTACAGAAGTCTCACATATTGTAACTCGCGAACTACAGTAATCATGTGACCTCTGTTTTTTTTTTTTTTTCAATTTTTTACAGTAATTTTTAAAATTATTATAAGTTTTTACTGTAAGATAGGTATGGGACCCAGGAAAAAAAAGAGTGATAAATATACCATCAATATTAAAAAATATTTTTTTTTTCAGATTACAATACAGGATATCTTCTAATAACTTACTTGATTTAAAATTCTATATTAAAAAATTTAATCTTTTACTTATTTTTAGAATTGAACTCATTAAAATCTTCTCTCCTCTCTAATTACAATTGAAAGTTAATATCCCGTACATAAAATCTAGTTTATAATACAAATTCTAAAATAAAAAGTATGCTAAAATTGATTATTTTAAACAAATTTTCCCATAATAAAATAGTATAGTAAATGTTAAGAGAACAGGCTCACAAACCAGCTCTCAATGAAGACCTTATCTTGAATCAAAGCAATAAAAGGGCCCAGCGACACTCCTTCCGCATTTCGCGCAAAGAATTTGGCCACCGGAGAGAGGCCGTACAATCGTCGGAAACATCGCTGCCCCTGATCCTCGTCGGCCACGACGGAACAGGTAAGAACAGAGTGAGACGCTAGAAGCCAGAGGAGGCGATCGAGCGCGGAAGGCGCTTCGGAGTTCTTGCAAGAAAGCTCCGTCGCGATCTCGGCGGCTGACATCCTGGCGTCGTGACCAACTCTGTGAATGACGTCGAAGATGCCGAGCTCCACCGCCGTTTGCATGGCCATGGAAATAGCGGTAGAAGTCGCGAGCTGCATGGCGTAGGAGAAGCTCTCTTCTTCGACGTCATCTATTTCTGGTGAATGTTGCTTCAGTGGATGATTGTTCCCTGCGTCGTGAAGAGGCTTGGGCTGAGAATGAGATTGTTGTGATTGAGCCATTTTGAGTTGATGAGTTGAGGGGAGAAATGAATGGCGAGTGATATGTATATGTTATATCAATTGGCAGATTTATGCCCTGTTTGTCTGAAAAGAAAACATGGAGAGAAAATAAGAAAGAAAATAATTTTTTTTTATTTGGATAAGAAAAAAAATGTGAGAGAAAAGAAAAAGTAAGAGAAAAATAGGATATAAGACTCATTATTTTTTTCTTTCAGCTTTTCTTTTTAAAAGTAGAGAGATTTTGAGTGTAAAATTTTTTTTTCACCATCTACCCTCTCTTTCTCTCTTTTATTTATTTTGCATTTCGATTTTAGAAGACTACTTAATTATATTAATTTAATTTTAATTCAACAATTTTGTTTATAATTTTTAACTTTTATAATTATAAATCATATTAATTTAACTATTTAATTAAATAATTTAGTCATGGGCTAGATCAAGTGTCCAGAATTACACTAATTTAATTTTAATTATTTTCTTTTAAAATATAATATAAAAATATATTTTTAACAAATAATTTGATTTTAAATTAATTTAATTATGTTAATTTTAATATAATTTTTTATTTTAATTTATTTTTATAAATATAGTTACATGAAATATGATATATTTTGATATAAAAGCATTATAGTTACGATGATATTTGTTCATTTTTTTTTGTTTTCTCCTATTCATTCAAATAAAAGAAGTGGTAATATTGTTTTATTTTTTTTCTTTATTTTTATTTTTTATTTTTTAACTTTTCTTTTCATTCGAACAGCGGGTTAATGTTTAGCAAGAGAAAATGAATACACGAGTGACCTGAAAAGTCGGCACTTCATTTTGTTAATTAAATGAAATGAAGGGGCATGTGAGGTTCTCCCACTGTCCTTCTTTCTTTTCATTCTATCTTATCTCTTATACATCTGCATCTAATAATTTAAGATATTTATTGAAGTGTGCGTCACTATGTTCAAAAAGTAGATGCAACAAATAAAGTTAACTTTATTTATGAAGATATATATATATATATGAAGCTTTTTGTTGTGGCATTTGGAATTTTGGATCTGCTGGCGCAGAACCTCATCTAGACCCCACCAAGTATTTCATGATTTCCCTCTCCTCCCTTCCTTAATTTTCTCTTCTTTAATTTTTTTGGAGAGATTAATTAATCCTAGTGAAAGAAAACAAATGGGTTAAGAGATAATATAAGAATATTCTGTGATGATGCTTTGTACAATTCTAAATGGTGGAGGCTCCTTCTCAGAAAAATAAAGGTTCCAAAAATGCAGTATAAATTAATTCGGAGTAAAAAAAAAAAGGAAGCATTTTGAAGTAAGAAAAAATTTTATTGCCGACTCAAACTGCAATTGTCTCAAAATTTTCTCTGACTTTTCAACCCCACTTCAACACCCTCTCAAAACCTCACGTATTTGTTTTTGGCACGTCCGGATCGGGTGAGTGGACGATAAAAAGTGTAGCTTCATATTTCCCTAGTACAAACAAAAGGCGGTCGTTTTGCGTCATCTCATTCGATTAATAAGAATTTAACTCGTGATTTATAAAATTATAGGATAAGATTTTATTACTGATATATTGATAGACAACAGGCAAATATCTTTATAAGAATTCTTTAAACCTAAATCTTACAATTTAAATTCAGTATATTGGTTATTTGATTTTTGTGTGTGTTAATGTTTGGATTTCTGAAGAGTATGTCTCAAAATTTAAAGGAAACTAGTACACATGAAACTAGTACTTGCAGAATATTATTGATCAATGAGTCATCATGTCACCAATAATTTAAATTACTCATATCTTTTTAAGCTATAACTCACCTCCTTAATAACTACACTAATTTGTATTCGCTAGTTATTCAATTTTTAAATGCATAATTCAATAATTCATGTAGAAAAACCAACATGCACGCTTTTTCAAAATCCATCTCTAATATTTATTCATCATTTTTAATATTAAATCTATATAATTCATTTAAAATTTTATTATCCATCTCTATGTGCTAATCTGTCTCTAAAATGTATCTTTAAATCAGTATTTTTTTTATAGTGACAAATCATAACTTATCATCAAGTGTGAATGGGAGATGTCGAATTATCCACACTTTACAGATTGAGCCCAAATATATAAGCCCATAGGGATTTATTAAAATAAGGAGAAGCTTGGGTCAATTAGAGTAATAAAACCAGGTCCGTTAAGGCAATATTCCCCTTGTTCAAAATTGAACTTTGGTGGGAGCAACTTTGTAACTTCCCCGTGCACGTGGATATATGGGAAGTGGAGTACATGTAATCTCTGCCTGTTTTTTTCCCCAAAAAAGCTCTCTACATCTTTTCTTCCCTTAGACTCTTTCTCTTTGTGCTACTCCTAAACCAAATCCATGTTGTGATTTTGCTCCTGCATATGTCCCTATGTCGATGTGACTCAACTCATTCAGTATGCTTTCCTCCTCCAAATGCTTATACAGCTAATTAATATACAACTACAGTCATTGTCAAAAAACACATCCTGATGGACATTATAATATTGCGATGAGAGATGGAGAATGATAGGGAAATCATACCATACGAGTATATTATTCTCCCATTTCTTCCTGATTACACAATTGGATTACAGAATGATAGGGAAATCATACCATACGAGTATATTATTCTCCCATTTCTTCCTGATTACACAATTGGATTACAGAATGCAGACCAAGTTTTCTTATTAACTTGGATTGTTATAAAATGCTTGATACCCCTAAAACGAAAGGGATTATCTATTCGCAGAATTCCATAATCCAAAAGTTACGAACAAAACACTCATATCTAACGCCTCTAAACCCTACTGACCTGGCCAATTCCATGACCTCTTCCTCACTTCTCTCTCTGCCACCTGGGCTCTGAGAGTCTGAGTCATCATAATCATGTCACGTTGGGAGGTGCTCTTGGCAGAAGTAGAAATTTCTGGTACGATGGGCAAAACTGCGTCCACCACAATCACTTTTCCAACTTCAAGAATGGCATTATGGCAATTCTTCAATAACTTCAAGCACCGCTCGTCACTCCAATCATGAAGTATCTACTACAAATTAAAGTTTTCCCTAATAAACTCATGATTAATTAATGTCTTATTAATTATCATTGGTCACTACATGTAAAAACATTATAGAATACTGTCACACCTTTATGAAAATAGCATCTCCTTTAGGCACACTTTCAAACATACCCCTTCCCACGTTTCCACTCCTGCAACGTCACCATCTTTGATTTAAATATCACCTCACCAATCACTGTTCAAAGGAAGCAGAAGTGGAGGGAGCACACAATCTAGAAGAAGTGACCTCCATGTAAGGAATTGAGCTCAAACATTCAACCAACCTTACACTCAGTCCTGATAACCTGTCCTGTCTGAGAATTAGAAACAACATGACTAAGTTTATCAAATAAACATCATAGCTCATATCAACTAATTGTCCAATAGATAGGAGATTAAAACTAATGTTAGGTACCAATAAGTATCATGAATGGACAGAGAGAGCAAGGAAACAATACCAATATAACTAACAAGCATTTAAAGTTATTAGCAGCATATATAAGGTGAGTAGTAGTATTAGGTGACATAGAGGAGAAGAAGTATTTTGACTAGTCATATGATTACAATAGGCAGAATCAAAATACCAAGAAGGTGTACCTGAAGGTGTGGCTAAGGCAGCAAGTAACTGGAAGAACTAAAGATAAGCTTATGAAGTAAAGACTCAAGTTCAATAGTAGAGGATCTCAAAGTGAAGTAGCAACAATTAGTGGCTCATCAAACAAATAGAGCAGGCTTGGATGATGAGGAACTAGACTTGAATGACCTCCCTTGATCAGGTTTGGGAGGTCGAGTGGGGCACTGATCAATGAGATGCCCAGGCTTCTTACAATAATGATAAGTCAAAGAAGGACAATTCACAGCAACATGTCCCTTCTTCTAGCAAGTTCTACATTCAATATATCGATACTGATCATAAGTGTGAGTAGATTGAGGGCAGCGACGACAAAGCTTAGAATTCCTTCCAAGGCAGCGAAAGTCATGTTAGGGGATCATTGGAGAAGACTCAAACAGTTTCCTCAGAACGGAGATAAGGAAGAGCATCCTCAAGAGTCAAAAGTGGCTTTGGTGGAGCAGAGAGGCGCGAACAGGCTTAAAATCATCAGTAAGAGCCATCAAGAATTGTATAAGATGAATTTGATCTTGCCACTTGAAGAAAACTTTAGCATCCTCATCATTTTTAAAAGTAAGTTCAAAATAGGCTAGTTGGTCCTAAATAACCTCCATCTTAAAAGAAACTTGAGCAGCAGTTCACCTTTCTCCATTTTGAGAACAGCAAAGTCCTTCTGCAATTAGTATTAATTGGACAAATCAAAGAGGTATATTGCTAGCAAGATGATCCCATACCTCCTTAGCAATTTCAAAGTGGTAGAAGTATTCCGAAACTATGTTATAATTTGATTATTTTTACTATCTGAATCATCCAACCAATCAATAAATTTTTGATCATATTTAAAAGAGGATCTAATAGAAAATGAGACATTTTCAATAATATATCACTAAAGTTTCTTGCCTTTCAAAAAACCACGCATACTTTCTATCCATAAGCAAAAGTTAGGATCCAGTCAACAAAACAAAAATAGGTTGAGCAACTTTGAATTTTTCTATTGAAAAATAAGGGGTAAAAAAATAAAAAGACCAAGAGGAGACAGTGATTAAGCGAGAATTTCACAGTGAAGCAAGAATCTCAAATAAAAGAGTTTGCATGGATTGGCTTAATTAGAGAGAGAAGTTTCAAAAATTCAATGAGGAAGAAGACAAAATAGATGCTACTTTAAGGGGAAGAAAAGAAAAAAAAATAGAGAAAGAAAGGAACAGAATGTGAAGGCAAGAGAAAAGCTAAAGAGAAAAAGATATGTGGGTCTTACCAGAAATGTGAAAGCTGAAGGAAGAATTCCAAAGGCAAGAGAAAAAAAAGAGCAACCAAGGACAGTGTCAAGATGAAATGACTAGATGAGATATAGTATTGGAAGAAGAGCGAAAAAAAATAGCTCTGTACCATGAAAGGAGCAAGAGAAATATAGAGAAATATCTTATCTATTATTAAGTTGAAAGGTACAATATATACATTAAGAAAAGGATAACCTAATAATAATTAATAATTATTTAATAATATAAAATAATATCTCCTAATAATGACTGGGAGATATATATACAATAATGATAGAATATTTGGAGAATATTTTAAATAACCTTTGAAAACATCCCTACCCCCGATCCTCGTCGGCCATAACGGAACAGGTAAGAACAGAGTGAGACACTAGAAGCCGGAGGAGGCGATCCAGCGCAGAAGCTTTGGAGTTCTTGCAAGAAAGCTCTGTTGCAATCTCGACGGTGGACATCTTGGCGTCATGACCAACTTTGTGGATGACGTCGAAGACGTCGAGCTCCACCGCCATTTGCATGGCCATGGAAATCGCGGTAGAAGTCACGAGCTACATGACGTAGGAGAAGCTCTCTTCTTCGACATCATCTATTTCTGGTGAATGCTGCTTCAGTGGATGATTGTTCCCTGCATCGTGAAGGGCTTGGACTTGAATGAGATTGTTGTGAATTTGCCATTATGAGTTGATGAGTTGAAGGGAGAAATGAATGACGAGTGAGTATGTTCATAAATTGGCACATTTATAGAGCTTAGTTGAAAAGAACGAATATTGATGTGCTTAGGAGGAGAAAATGATACCAATGGTTGGTGTGTGATCCTGTAACCTGAAAAGAAGCCACTTCACTTTGTCAACAGAAATACAGGGGTGTACACTAGACAATGAATAAATTGAGTGACTCAGGAAAAAATGGAGAGTGGACCAATGTTGTCTTGGCCGTCTTCAGACACTTTGTCAGATCCCAGCTAATTAATTAACCCATAGTAGATGTATATTAGCAGTTAGCAATACATGGTCCTTTTCTTGATGTGAAACACGTTCCACCTTAGCCTCTCACTGTCGTACCTCCTCTTCATCTTCATCTCCTTCCATGTATCTTTTTCCGGCCCATTCTCTCATGCCCTTCCAACGAATCTCTCTACTCACGTGATTTATCAACTATATTTAACCTCGCTTTATTGATAGAACAACGATTTAGTATATTCTTATGAAGTTGTCATGGATGTCATCAACATGGCATTACTACTGTGTGTGATACATATATTCACATGATTGATGATTCAGCTTTTGCTCCTCACGTTGAGTGAGCATAATTCAGTCATAAAACTTTCTGCGAGTAATGAGAATTTATTTTAGCTGGATATCAATCATTGAATTGTACTTTTCTTATCAAGATGTTTGGGGGGTTAAGCACTTGAACTTGTTTTCCTGTCCGTCAATCTCTTTTCGCCGTCGTTTGGAAAAATGAAAGAGCAGCGACAATGAAAAGATAGTGAAGGGATAATAAGATAAAAATGTGAAGATTGCGGTTGGACTAGGAGAACAACTAAACACAAAGACAAATAAACCAAAGAGATCGGATCCAAGTGGCGCTCGTGATTGAGGGGTGACAAGTTTTTTATCGCGATCACGTTGTCAAGGCTGATAATTGAAGAGAGGAGATTCTAAAGGATCAAGTGGGCCTCATGGATAATGAAGATGTGAATATAGTTGAACACCTCCGTGACGACCCAAAGGTCACAAATAAAAGCAATATTTTAAAAACCGAAACTGAATGTCAAATGGACAAGGTCGCCGAACAAAAGAATCAAAATGAATAACCAATAAACGGCCACGCTCATGAGCTCCTGTTCATTTGTCTCCCTCACTCCTGGGTTTTTGGGTCATCCAATGATTATCACCTTGGCACGTCACATTATTGGAAGAAATGCTTCCGCAAATATCACTTTCCCATCTTCTGGTTAGTTCCAGTTTATATTCAGTATATTGGTTATTCAGTCATTGGATTCATAACTGATGTCAAAGTCTAAATTAAAGAAAGAGTAAATACGCATGTTTTCTTAATATAATATCATTTTAATTGGTTTTTTTATTATTTCTTGTAATAATTTACTAGCTTAGTATATGTCCCTGAATTGATTTATTAATTAGTTAATTAAAATGTTTTTATTACATGTATTGAAAACTATAATAACAATAATGCCAATAAATTAAAAACGAAATTCTTACTTTGAACTATCACGATTAACGTCGCTTTAGAAGGGGGGGGGGATATAACACTGTTGTAGAAATTTCGGTTTCAGTCGCATGATTTAGTCGAGAGAAAATGATAGCAAATGATCAATTACTTCCCTTAATGATATAATAAAGAGTTCGAATACTAGAATTATCTATTCTCAAAAGTCATATAATAATTTTAAGGTTTTTTTTTCTTAAATTTACCACTCATTCCCTAAAATTATAATTTGATATTTTATAACTCGCTGATTCACTTTTGAATAATAGACAGTTTCAGGTGATAGGATCGGTGTGTGTGAATATACATATATCATGTGCAAAATAATGCAGAAAGTGAAAAGGCGCCTCCCAGAAAATGACATTTCCTTTGAGAACACTTGCACTCAGGGGCGTACCTATGTATATTTGAGGGGGCAATTCAATTTTAATTATGAGGCTTAATATAAATATGGATTAGGGTTTTAATTTGTCTCCACTGATGTGCTAGTTTTGAATTCACTGATTGAAAAAAGAACAAGGAAAGAGGAAGACAGAAAAATAGATGATAGTAGAGATGAAAAACAGGCAAGCCTAATTCATATGGGCTCTATCCCTATAGGTTTGAACTTATATAAGGGTCAAGCCTTCAAGTTCAATTTTTAAAAATTGTCTAATTTATGAAGCCTCGCCCTTGTTCAAAAGGCTCAAAGTTGGGCCCATAAGCCTTTTATTATTATTATTATTTAGATTTTTTTAAAAATTAAAAATTTCAATTATAATATTTCATAATTTTTAAAATATAAATTATAATATTAAAAATAAATAATAGAAAATCAAATTTTAAAGTTTTAATTCAATTTAAAATTAAATTTTTTTTATTTTTTTAGAATTAAAATAAAAAAAAACCGCTCGAGCTCAAACCCATTTTTCCAGGGCCTATTAAGGTTGGATTTCAAAGCTCAAACTTTTATAAAAATGACTTTGTGGGTGGCTCAACCTTTATTCCCTACCTTAGATGATAGTCACCTAGGTACATGAGTGGGGTTGGGGTGCAAAGTAAGTCAAAGGAAATAGAAGTATAGTTTTAGATTTAAAATATTGAGAGAAGTTAACTCCATTTGACAAAATTTTGAATAATGGGTGGTGATGAGAGAGGATTAAGATTTTAGAATAATTTAAGTATTATAAATGATTATTTTTTATTGAAACTTTTATTTCAAATAGTACCAGAATATAGGCATTTTCTGAAAGCTCTGTTTGATCTAAAATATAAGACATTAGATCATTTTTTATAATTATTTTTTTAACCATCCCCTACTTTATTTATTACTTGTTATAAAAAATAATAAATTTTAATTTTAATTGTTACTATTAAAACATTTATATAGGGAATTTAAGAAGGTATAATTAAAAAAATTCATTTTTTAGAGTCGTGAAGTAATTATTAATATATTATATTGTAATTCAAAAGGAGTACTTCTTTTGTTTTTATTTGTTAGAGAACTGTTATTTTTTATTTATATTTTTTTATAAGTAAAATCATATATTTTAACAAGGATTTATTACAAAATTTTTAAATTACTTTTCATAATTTACATTAACAAAAAACAATCAATGCATGCATATATTGATTAACACAAGGTATTTTAATCTAATTTTTTATTTTCAAACATAATTATTATAATTAAATAATTTTTTTAAATTGTATGATATGATCTTTTTTTCTCTTATATATAGCAACAGAGAAAGTATATTTTTAGTGGATTCATTTATTTTATTATTTTATTATTTTCTAAATTTTTACTAAAATCATTTGTATAATGTAGTAATGGATGTCTCATTATTATTTACACAAGTCGTTGACATTCAAATATCAACTCTTGCACCTGTGAAAAAAAGCCTAATTCATATAGTTCTATCCGCTACATATAATACATAGGGCAAATTAAATTTTGTTACCAGTGGAGTATATTATTTGTGCCTCACCAAAAAAACATTCTACTCCTGGCAGGCCGGCCGGCTCAGCCACTGCTTGGTGCTTGCAGTGACACAATATATTCCTTTAACATATAGTATTTATGCATGTAAGCATATATTAGGCGAAAAAAATATGTGCAGGTATATATAGCACGGGAAAAAAAAAAAAGAACAAATTAAAATGATATTCCAGACCAAGTAAGAGATACATGTGTGAGTAATGAACATAAGTGAAGATGATGATGACATATAATACCAGGATAAGGAGGAGCAAGGAAGCAAATTGTAATAATGAGGAACAAGGCTGCACAAAATACTGGATAAAAATGAACTTTAATTTAACTTGAAATTTGATATCTTTCATAAAAATGATTCGGTTAGCCAACCTATAATTCGGTCTAATTCAATTATAACTTAAAGATTAATAGGATCGAATTTGACCCATAAAATTAGGAGACTAGTCTCAGTATTCTAGTACTCATTTAGCCTTTTTTTTTTCATTTTTTCTTATATAAAAGGTAACAATTCATTTCATCTTAATAAACTCAATTAAAATAATAAAAATATTTATAATCATTAAAAAAATCATAACAATTTATAACAACAACAAATATTTCTATTACAATCCAAATGATTCAAATTCATAATTTCAGCAACAACAACATTCAATAAATTTCAACAACATGTCTAATGTACATTACAATAATAATTTATATTAAAATATATTAAAACAATTTCATAAGGCTAAACTAGACCAAGTAGTTTAAAAGTTTGATCTCATGTTTAGTCCAACTTAAAATGTTAGTCTGATCTTTTTGATTTCTTTAATTCTTTAGACCAATTTTTTTATAAGACCAAACAAGACCAAACTTATTTGGGTTAGGTTAGATTAGACAGGATAGCCAGACTTTTGTACAGCCCTGTTGAAACTCACGAAAGTTGTTACTCTTTTCTTCCCCTGATAATTGAACAAGAAAATTGAAGATAGGACGGCTTTAATTTTGCAGGGATTTTGCAGCGTATTGATCAATGAAAATTTTGCCCATTCATTGACAATTATTTAACGTTATCTCGTTATCTTTCCCTTTGAATTTCCAAACATTATGCCACACAACATATTAAAGCAGGATCAACTCTTACTATTTTATATTTCTAGCGATAGATGCCTAGCTTGATGGCAAAAATTAATTTTCAAAATGTTAAATTATGAATTTTTCATGAGATCGAGAAAAAGATAGCATCTCCAACTTAAGATAAATTTTCTTTGCATTGGGCCTTCAGTCTCAGACTTCGTTTTCGACAGATGACCCATAAATAAGAAGCTCCCAATTTCATTATCCGTTTCTGTTCGCCATAGTTTTGGGCCTAGTAACTGCATCGGCCCATAAAGTGCAATGCTAATCGCTTTTTTAACAAAAACCAATTTGCAAGCAAAAAGTATTCTTATGGAAAGATCGCTGCTTCCTATTCAAAGAAGTATTTTTTTTCTGCTGTGGAAAAGAATCGTTAACAATACTTTATTTTATAAAGGTATTAAAAACAATATAAAACTACACTTTATTTTATTTTACAGTGACCATATAAATCTCGCAGTCATGTGAAGATCTTATAGATAAATAATCTGTAAATATCTTTATAAATTCTATTTAAGTATAGAGGCATGCTGATTCACAGAATTTAACTTATCTAAATTTTTTATTATATAACAAAAAAATAGAGACAAAATAACCCAGGTACATCCAGGAGTTGTTGCTAAAGCCAAAATAAAGCAAATTGCCATTACACCAACAAATTTAGTCTTCATGATAAATGCATGAGGATTTATTCGGAGTTCCCAAGTTCTTCTTTTTTAAAAAAAAAAAAAAAAGAAGCAAATTGCCATTACACATTACGCAGTGAAAACTGAAAAGTTAAAGCCCCTTTGATTTCTGTTTTCGAAAACATTTTTTCGGTTTAAAAAAATTGAAAAATTTATTTGAATAAATGTTTTGAATCTAATTATTTTTAAAACTGTTTTTATTTTTATTCTTAAGAACAAAAACAAACATTTTAAAGCTATTTTCATTTGATTTTTCTTATTTTCAAAATACATTACATTTGATTATTAAAAACTACAGCTATTTTGACTAATAATTATTATAAATCACTATCATTAACAGCAGGTGACTATTATTATGGGCCAATTTTTTAATTTTAAAAATTCTTTTAAATTAACACAATTGAATATATTTTTTAAATACTTTTAAAAATTGTATTGGAAACCAGTTTTTTTAAAATTAAAAATGAGAATAGAAATCAAACAGGCCCTCCTTCATCTGTTTTGTTATTTATGTATCATACTACTCACGTCTCTAATCTCGTAAGTCAATAGAGATCTTCTCGAAATTAAAGACTCCGTTCAACAAGAAATTAAATTCATTAAGCATGCATGAAGAACAAGCACATAAATACATATATGGATTAAAGGGACCTACAAGTCGGGAATTAATTAAAAATTAGGAACATATACAGTTCAACCATGGTGATGGGGTGAATCGGCCTTAAACAAGTCGAGACAGGTTTCTTTGGAGAGGCCTCTGTTCCAGAATTTGAGGTAGTACTCGCTGTAGGTGAAGTTCCTGTAGAGCGCAGGATGATGAGGGTCTATGAGGTCGGGGGCTGGACCAATCACAGCGTCCTGTGATGGGCAGTAGAAAGTTGGGATGGACATCCTCTCCTTCTCGCTGTTCACAACTGCTCGATGCAACACACTCTTGTACCTGCCGTTGCTTATCACCTTCACCGCACATGTTACACGGTACCAAATTAACCTTTGTATCAGCTAAATGGTCAATTTTTTTAAATATATGCTCAAACAGTATTTAATAAGCTTGGGCTAGAATAAAAAATATGTGGTGCGTATAATTATTTTTGTTTTGGTCTGACATTTTCCAAACAACATGGAAAACGTTCGATGAAAGGACAGAGGAGTGTCCGACAAATAATGTGAAAGACTGAAAGTTGCTCTCACGTTCTTTTCCAGTTCTTGTCCTAAACTATAGGAGCCTATCCATCCTAAGCCACAAAAGCAAAAACACTACAAACGCGCAAAAACCATGCGTCCAGCGTCCTCTCACCCTAAAATTAATTAAGTTGTAATTTTCACTTTTCTTTTATCTTTAAATATAAATAGACGTATACTCTTCCCCATAGGAAGAAAAAAATAACATTTACATATAATAATCCATGGACTTTGGCATCTCCTTGATTTGTGTATTTTTTAAATATTAGCCTGTTAGGTATGCTCTCGCCATGTGTAAAGTATTCGTATCCAAATCTCAGATACTAATAAAAATTTATTATTTAGTTAAGAGTACATAAAATCACAACAATTATCTAGTTATGTTCCTAATAATTTCACAATTGATGTATTTTAAGATAATAAGAGCAAAATTATACAAGCACTCAAAATTATCATGGCATCCTTTATGTTTAAGGACAAAATAAATTAATTTTAAAAAACATCTTTTACATTGGAATAGAGGGAGTATGCTCAAAGACACAGGAAATATACCCCTTGTTTTGAAGTTTGAGTAAAATTTTCACATACTTTCTTTTTACATAAGCCAAACAACAATTTTTATAAGCATTTATGATATCTTTTTTTTAACTGCCCTTTGTTAAATGATTGCATCATTAAATTATAAAAAAATGAAAGATTAATGAAAAGGACATTTTAGTCCACCTTTTTTAATTTTAGATGATTAACTATTTTCTTAGACGCCGTATAAGTTGTTTAAAATTTTATGAAAATGGAGGGAGAAGGTTTGACAAATAAAATAAAATTTAATCATATAAAAAGAATAAGAAATAATCTTTGTCACTGCACTTGTGCAAAACTGACACCTTAAATTTTTATGAGAAAATTACATCCTGGCATCTCCCAAGGGAATTAATTATAGATAAAGACTAATAATAAATTTCATTTAAAAAAAATTATATCCTCATTTTAACAATAACTCGTTCTACATTAGTTTTTGTATGTGATTAATTTTTTTGAGGGGCTGGATGTGATTTTTTTTAAATTTTTATCTGCCAAGGAGCGGTGGGCCCTTATTTTTTATTTTTTGGACACTTAAGATTAGTGAAAAGGGAAAAAAGAATAAGTAGCTTTCTTATTACCTAAAATTACATCAAAAGGTAACAACTTTCATCCCTTCCATCTTCTTAGTACTGAGTTATCGCAAGGTTGGGAAAGAAAAAAAAAGGAAAAAGAAAAGAAATGAAAAATTGAAATGGCGAGGGCAGTTACTTACCTGAATTTGGTCGCCGATATTGACGGTGAAGGTGTTGGGAATAGGATTAACGGCGAGCCACTTGCCGTCCTTGAGGACCTGTAATCCCGGGACGTCGTCTTGCAGAAGAAGTGTAATGACGTTTGGATCAGCATGGCTGGGCAGCCCATACGTCAGCTCCGGCTCTGGACAAGGCGGATAATAGTTTAGTGCCATGTGCTGCCCGTGCTGCCCCAACGCCTTGTTTATGTAATCCTTCTCTATCCCCAAGCTCTCTGATATCGCCTCCAGCAATCTCAGCGATAACTCCCCCATTTTTCTGCAGTACCCACCCGCATCTTCTCTGCTTCCCCAAACAACACCCCCCCGGCAAAAAAAAAAAAAAATCAGTGAGATCTTCGATCGGCCGCATGGGACTCAATTCCTTTTTCTAGAATTTACCTGCTTCGTTTGCCAGGACCATAGATTTCCTGAATATCTGCTAATCACACTATAAAATATTTTTTTGGAAGTTCTATTTGGTATAAAATATAAGGTATTGAATAAATTTTATAATTATTTTTTAGTTATACTCCTACTTTATTTATTATTTTTTTAAAAAAAATAATGTATTCAAATTTTAATTACTATTATTCATATTATTATATAGAGTATTTAATGAGGATATAATTAAAAATATATAAATTTTTTTAAAAAATTAAAATTTCAACTAATATTTTTTAAAAAACTATGAATTAATTAACAATGTTCTATATTCCTTTATTTCAATTTATAAATCACTTTTAACATATTTTAATAATACTAAAAAATTTTAAATTTTATTAATTTTACCTAAAAATTTAATAAGTTTTTAATTTTGTCGTTATTAAAGGCCTATATTATTTTATTTTATTTCATAAAAAAATAATTTATTTTTTAAAAAAATTTATTTTTGTGAGTTTTTATTATATTTGTTTAAAATTTTAAAAATAGTCAAAATCTCAAAAAAAGTAAATTTCTTATCATTTTAAGAAGTTGTTTTGGGTAACTTCTGACAATAATATAATATGGTAAATAAAATGGTGTATTTTAAAGGAGTGGGATACATAAAGATATTATAAAATTTTAAAATAATATAATAATAAATTATTTTAATAAAACAAAAATCAAGGAATATATTATAAAATTAAAAAATAACTAACTAATAATCACTTTTTTATTATTATAACCAAATATAAAATAATTCCTACAAAATATAAAATAATATCTATTTTTTATAAAATCTTTACAAAAAAATCTCCTTTTATAAAATCTGTAAATTATCTAAAAATTATTTATATTTTAATATTGAACAAATGAATTTTAAATATGTATATTTTAATAACATATTTTTTCTTTTTAACATTTAATAAAGCATAAGCCTTGGTTAGTTGAGGGAAGGGGAGGCCCTCCACCTTATCAAACAAGGGCCCCTCCCTTGTTTGGCTCCTCTCCCCTGCAAAACCTCCCCCTAATTTGGAGGATCCCATCCTCCCCTCCTCTCCCCTTCTCTTTTTTTTTGAACTAAACAAGACTTAAAAAAAAATTATAATAAAAATTTAATTATGTATCTAAAATCAAAAACATTTCTCTCTCCTATAAAGGGAGTATTTTGATCTAGAGAGAATAATGCATGAATTTTTAAGGATTTGAATTCAATAATTATACTTAATACAGATATTGAGTGTCTATGTCATTTAAGATATTAAAATTTAAATTAACAGTTTAGATAAATTTATTCATTCATTAATTTCAAGTAGAATATGATTTTATAACCATTAATTTAAATTTTAATAATTTAGATTTTAATGATCAGGATTTCAAGTACAGTCACAAAATTTAAATTTAATTTTTAAGTGTTCTGCAACAATGAAGTGGTTGAAATCGTGAAACTGATCGAGTAACTGATTTTGAGTGGTGGTCCCACGCACACATCTGTTTTCTCTCTTCTGGAATTCCCTGGACCATCATGCATTCGGAGCCTGTTTCTTGATTCTCAATTATAGCATACCTGAAATAGGAAGGGTTGGTCGGCCACTCATTGATGTAATCCTCAAGAGGATAACAGTGAAGCCTCAAGAAGTCTCTCCAGTTTGAAACTTTCTCCGTCTTCACGTTGAAACTGGTGGACAGCCTCGTCGTCTTCGTAGGATCGTCGGAGTAGTTCTTCATTCTCTCGCTCTCTGGTAAACGGAAGAATTCCCTTGACACACTCACCATCTTCTCAACCACTTCCGCGGGAACTCCGTGGTTCATGACCTTCACCAAAATGAAAGAAATCATATAACCGAAGATATATAATATTTTCTGAATTATATAATATATGGCTTGTTCTGCTGGTATACCTGAAAGAAGCCGTAGTTCAGGCAAGCGTCGCCGATCTTGCGGATGGTGAGAGAGCGGTTGGGACCATCGAGATCTCGGAGGTCGATGAGAGGAATTGAGTAACCGTCGGAGGATTCAACGTCTTGAAAATTTGGACGGTCGCTGTCGGGCCTGATGAAATTGGAGGGTACGTGGCTCAAGGATGCCGCCAGGTCGGTTAAGAGCTTGGGCTTCGCGGCGGCGATGGCGTTGGTGGTTGCGGCGGCCATTGAGAGCTTAGTTAATGGCGAATCAAGGAGCACCTGAATGTAAGGCTTCGATGCTTGCTAGTGCACAGGACGGTGCATGAAACGCTTCCGTTAATATTAGTGCCGAAGGACCGTATTGATGGCATCTTACCGACTCAAGCTTACGTTTGCTGTGTGACGTAATTAAGAGATAACGTTACACTTCCGTGTGATTTATTGGGAGGATATAAAACAAAATAATCGGACCATGCTCGCCCCTATCCTAAATATAAAATATCTTCTAGATTTGGTCCTTGAGAGACTGCCTTGTAAAACTTAATGAAGTATTGATAAATTATTTTTAAAAATGCCCACATCATGTATAATTAGTTTATTTGGATAGCATGTTTGACTTTAAAATTTACAATTTTAAATTAATAAAAGTTAAGGGGTCTTACCTAATACATTATGTAGCATTAAGACATAAGGATCATCAATTCCTTGACACTTTAACTCATGAATCTCTAAGCATAGTAACATGAAGTCACACACATCGATCATTAGTCAAATTTTTAAGGATGTACACCCAACTTATCCTGTTGAGATAAATCATAGCAAAGTATTTAGAATGAATTATTCTATCATCAGAAAAGCTTAGAAACAACTAGCCCAAAAATAAAAAATACCTATATTATATACTCTCTCCATTTAAAAATATAAGATATTTTTTGAGAAGTTGGATGTTAAAAATGTAAGGCATTTTTAATCTTTCGAGGTGTAATTATTGCCTTTTTTTAAAAATATCCCTATTAATAATAATTTTATATTTATTGTAAGATATTTTATAAGGATAAATATAAAAGATAAGGTTAGTTGAAAAGTATGTAATTACTTTATTAGAGGTAAGATTTGGTTAAAAATGCCTTATATTTTTAAACGGAGGGAGTACAAATAATCCCACCCTTCTCCAAAAACCCCCAAGATGTATGAGCCTTAATTTAATAATTTTAATTTCAATTAAGAGTATGTCGTGCCCGGATCATGCATTTCGCTTAAAGGGAAGGCCAATAAGTGTAGAAAAGTGATAATGGCCATCAAAATTTTTAAAAACCTTAAAAAATTATATAATAAAAAAGGATGGTTTATGACAAGGGTTCACGAATCCATTATATGTGGAGAAGGTATTAGACATTCCACAATACTCGTTTATAAGAACAGTTATCCTAAATTGATTGCATCAATTAATTAGCCTTTTAATAATATCTTAATTATCCTTTAATCACATGCAAAAATGAAAATAAATTATTTATTTATATGAGAGGACTTGACCTAGAATCAAAATTTAGTGCCTATGTATTCTGTGATAGGAATCAAAGTTAATGTAGTTTGGAGTATTATTATTTAGGTTTTCTTTTAACTTTTTTAATTAATTTATTTTATGAAGAGAATGTTATTTTGAGTTGTATTTTTTTATATTTTAAATAAAATTTTTTTATAAGGAAGTACTTTTGGGTAAAAAAAACCAATGCTAAAATTTGTAGTGATTTTGTATTACTCATAGTCCATTAATTGACACTCTAAGTGCATACAATGATTTAATATCACTCATAACAAACCTTGAAAGAATTTTCAAAGTGAATAATTTAATTGTGAAATTTTAATGTAAAAATTTAATACTTGCGGGATGACTTGGTGTCATTCAAGGCATCAAGTTTGATATTTTAAAGGCTACACGGTGATTTAATATCACTCATGATATAACCTAAAATATATAAAATTCTATTATTTTTATTATTTTAATAAAGTACAAGAGAAAAAATAATTAAGATTAAAACTTATAGTGATTTAGTATTATTCACAATTCACTAATTGACCCTCTAAGTATATGAAGTGATTTAATATTACATATGGCAAATCTTTAAAAAAATTTTAAAGTAAATAAATTAATTATAAAATTTTAATGCAAAAATTTGATACCTATAATAATTTAATATCATTTATAATATTTTATTTAATATTTTTAAGACTCCACGGTCATTCATGAACTTAAGAGCCAACTTGTCAAACTGGAATGACAACTCACGGCTAACTTCATAGTACGTAAAGTGTGAGAGAGGCACACAATGATAATATATTACTATATCTCATTGTTCTAATTAAGTTGATTGCATCAATTAATTAACTTTTTAATAATATTTTAATTACTCTTTAATTACATACAAAAATAAAAATAAATTATTTATTTACATAAAAAAAAATTAACTTAAAATCAAAGCCTAGAACCTATATATTTTATGATAGGGATCAAAATTAATGTAGTTTGGAGTATTATTATTTAGGTTTTATTTTAATTTTTTTAATTAATTTATTTTATGAAGAGAATGTTATCTTGAGTTGTATTTTTTTATATTTTTAAATGAAAATTTGTTATAAGGAAGTACCTTTGGGTAAGAAAAACCAATACTGAAACTTACAGTGATTTTGTATCACTCACAATTCACTAGTTGACACTTTAAGTGCATGCGGTGATTTAGTATCACTCATGACAAACTTTAAAAGAATTTTTAAAGTGAATAATTTAATTGTAAAATTTTAATGTAAAAATTTTATACTTGCAATGACTTGGTATCATTCAAGGCATCAAGTTTGATATTTTAAAGGCTACACGGTGATTTAATATTACTCATGATATAACCCAAAATATACTAAAATTATATTATTTTTTTATTTTAATAAAGTACAAGAGAAAAAAAATAATTAGGATTGAAACCTATGATGATTTAGTATTATTCGTAATTTACTAGTTGACCCTTTAAGTATATATAGTAATTTAGTATTACACATGACAAACTTCTACAAAATTTTCAAAGTAAATAACTTAATTATAAAATTTTAATGCAAAAATTTGATACCTATAATAATTTAATATCATTTATAATATTTTATTTAATATTTTTAAGACTTCACGATCATTCATGAACTTAAGAGCCAACTTGTCAAACTGGAATGACAACTCATGGCTAACTTCATGGTACGTAAAGTGTAAGAGAGGTACACAATGATAATATATTACTATATCTCATTGTTCTCACAGTCCCTAGAGGTACGCAATAATAATATATTACTATATCTCATTGTTCTAACAGTCCCCAGAAGTCAGAATAAAAATAAAAGATATGAAAACAAACGTTTGTTCCTTTGCTGGTTCATCATTCAATCCTCCTCTCCTCCAATTTTCTCTTTCCCTTTTTTTTTTTTCACTTTTTCTGTCCCCTCTGTCCTTTCTTGCTATTTTTTTAATAAAAACTCAACTAGAGTATTTCTCCCAATAATAACTCAATCAATTATAATCATATTAAATTATTAATAATTTTTATTTGATTTTTGCCTTAATCATTTGAATTGATTATAACATTTAATTTGATAGGATTATAATTGTGAAGATTCAGAGGCCATGAAAAAGGAAAATATTTTTTTTTGTTTACGAAAATATTTTTTATTTTTTTATTATAAAAGCTCATTTTATTCATTTTGTTGTATTTTTTATATTCAATTTGCATCTAGAAACTCAAATAAAATACAGTGTTCACAAGATAATTTGGATTTCAAAATATGTTAAAAAATAATACTTTTAATTAATTTTAACTAATTTTTTAATTTAAGTATCTTATAAATAAGATTAGAGCTCAAATATAAAAATCATTTAAATGCAGAACCAATGGGCAGAAATAAATTATCATACCATGATACAGAGTAAAAAATAAAATAAATTATTATTCACGGTAGGTTGTTTTTGCCAACAAAAATACATATCTATTTAAACGCCAAAAAGTCCAACCAAACCAAGACAAGGAAAAAATAACAAAATAAAAATAAAAGAAAATCAGCCACAATGTTGAAACTTCTCCCAATCAGCATCTAATAAACATCTGAAAGGAATTGTAGGTCAGGAAATCCAATTCGAAGGATACAATTCCTTTAACGACCCAGTCAATAATTGAGTTACCTTCTTTGAAAATTCAAGAAAAAAATATTTCTCTCCTCATTTTTAAATTAAATTTTACCCTCAATAAAGTAATTACTTATTTTTAAATTAATTCTATCTTTTTATATTTATTTATGTTAAACACCTTATAATAAATATGAAATCATTTATCAATAATGACACTTTAAAAAAAAAGACAATAATTATACTTTAAAAGATTAAAAATGCCTTACATTTTTTAACATTCAACTCTTTAAAAAATATTTTATATTTTTAAATGAAGGGAGTATTCGTAACAAATTCCTCATAAAAACCTGTTTGTCTAATAAAAAGTTTATAAATCAAAGAGAGGTAAAAACTAAAAAGCCAAAAGAATGCATTGTGCTTCAAGAAATGGATAGCGTGAGTGCGTGTGTAGTGCTCGCTTTGTTTTAAATTATAAAATATTTTTAAATAAAATTTTACATGTTAATAAACTTTATTAAATACACTTAACAATATTATTTTTTAAAAAATAAAAATAAAAAATTTTAAAAATATTTTTCATTTAATAACCTTAATTCTATACTTAATTAGTATTAAATAGAGGAGGTATTATTAAAATAAGTCTATTTAATGAAATATTAATCTTCTCAAAGTGTTATATATTCTAAGATGGCAAATCTCCCTTAAAAGTATCTTATAATTTAAGATAAGGGGAGTACTATATACATGTAACTATTTTTTTAAAATCAAAAGTAGGTAATTTATATTTTATTAAACTGTAATTTTTATTTTGAAAACATAAATAGTCAAAATTAAATTAAAACTTGTTCTAAATAAAATTAAAACTTGCAAGTTGAAGTGTTAACTTTGTACATATTTAAATATATGCAGAAGATTTAAATCTAGGTTGCATCTGGCCAAAAAAAAAAAATCTAGGTTGCATGAAAAGGAGTACCTGAATGTTATACCCCCTTTTATTTTTCATGTGAATGTTTTCTTACTTTAATTCAAAACATTTTAACTTTAAATTACGCAGTTTCAATACGACAACTACCATGTAATTTTTATTGTGTGATCAAATTATATGTGAGAGTGGTGTGTAAATTTACTCGTTACAAAACCTCCATCGCATAAATAATGGCGGTATCATCATCATCACC